CGGAAATAGCCGGAAACAATCGGGGCCGCGGCGGGCGTCCGGGGGGTGTGAAGGCCGCGAAATATGGAATGTTTCGTCAAATGGAAACATTTTGGAAATATGGAATAAGATTTTCGTAAGAAAGGTTGTTCTCTGAGGTTTGATCTCCCCTCTGCTTTCCAGTCTAGCCAATGAGAAGCGGGACTTAGTTAATGAAACAGAGAGCCACCAACAAGCTGTGAGTGATGTCAAAAATGATGCCCGAAAATGCTAGAAATAAAACCCCATACACTGGTGTCTGTAGAGCAGGGATTTGTTTATTGCAGCTGGAGGTGAGCGGGATCTTTCCTCCTAATTCACCTACCCTTGCTTGTGCCCTTATATTTATACAGTAAATAATTCTTAACATTGTCACTGTCACTATATCCGCCATTACATATGGGTATGGAAATACAAGGCTACTATTCCTTAATGTAGCATCTACTTATCTAATTGTGCATTATAGTTATCTACTTTTTGAAATATTCTTGGCGGTTCAACTTGTCCAAGCATTAAGCAATTGGCTTAACTACATCCAGTTGATACACTGAATGAATAAACTATATATGGCTATATGAATATATGGCTATATTTAGCTGATACACTGCACGCTGATAATAAACTATATGAAAACTTAATATATGAAAAGGCTATTAGTGATAGTATATGAAAATAAATGAAAAATATACTGTTACATTGTATATTGATGATATGTAAAAAGCTATTATATTGTATATAAAGTTTTCCATCAATAGGCTTCATAAGCATCCCGTAACTTTGACTTAAAACCATATAGGTATCAAAAACAAACTACTTGTTGGTAGAAATGCCGTGTTAGAGCTTGGAGCTGGATAGGCTTTGATGTTCTCAGACYTTCAGTGATCCCAGGGAGGTTGGCAAAGCTTAGGAAGAAGGATCTACCACTGTGGACACTGTGGATGTCCCGTGGTACACACAAAGAATGCAGATCTTGGGGGACACAAGGTGATCTGGCAGAACTCCCAAGACACGGAAAAACAAATGGAGACAACTCAGCAATTGTGTTGAAATTGGCTCCAACCAGGTAACAGGTAATTCCCACAGGGGCTGATCCCAACCAACTCACAGAGCACCAACCCGAAAAACMCACCAGCCCAAAAAGAGAGAAACACTGAGCATGGGATTAATTACCACGAGAAGTGAGACAATCAGTAAGCAATAAAAGATAAAATACTAATTAGTAAGAGAAGGATGTGACTTGTAACTAATGAACACTAATCCCTCTGTTTGCTAAAATTTATAAATAGTAAAAAGCTCCAGCAAAAAGCTCTGATAGTTGGGGTGCTTGATCTGTGGAACATCATGGAGCACCAGGCTTGTACAATCTGAAATAGATAATGTCTCTCTTGAGTAATTACTTTGTTACACATGAGGTAACAAATCCAATTTTTGCAGGTGAATGGGGAGCTCCCACAGGGAGTTGCATTTGTGAGATATTTGCATTGATGGTAAATACTCAAAGAGGCCCAGAGGCAGTGCTCGAAGTCAGGAGGGAAGGCCAAGAGCACAAGGGCTTGTTTATAATTGTGAGGAAGGTTTTCTGTGATGATACTGTGACTCAGCCCAGAGTAGCCTCTCAGTTATCTCAGTGCTGTACAGCCCCAGCTGCCTCAGTTGTTCCTCCTAAGAGAGATGCTCCAGTCCCCTAATAACTTCACAGGGCTCTGCTGGACCTCCTGCAGGAGTTCCATGTCTCTGTTGTCCTGAGGAGCCCAGAACTGGACACAGCACTSCAGATGTGTCTCACTAGGACTMAGCTGAAGGGCAGGATCACCTCCCATGACCTGCTGGCTGGCCTGGGAAGTGCTGTGCTCCAGCCTAACTCTGCTGCTGCTTCCATTTACAGTCAATGAGCAAGTTATCCCAGGGAAGGATACTTGGATCAGAAGGGATTGACGTGTGTCTCAGTAAGAAGGAAARTGTGGCATTGCCTTAACAATCTGTTAACACACCAAGGGCATCAACACAGGTGAGATGTAAGATGTAGACAYTGAGTTTAAGCAATGTCCACCTGCAATAATTTTTAAAGAGTTTAACCCCTACACTGAAAAGCAAATATAGACTACAGTGGTTGAGAGAACTGTTAGCCTAACAGGGGCTTTGCAAACTGATAGCTGAGCCAGAATTCCTAAGGTTTAAATCAGATACCTAGTAACAGCCATAAGAGTCCTCTTTACACTGTTACACATGCCCCTGGACCACTTGGGGTTTGCCTGCACAAATAATAAATGATCCTGAAATTCTATAGAGCATCTGTCAATGTGAGTGGTTGAAGGACAGTGCTTTGAGCAACCCATTGTTACTCATATAAAGACAACAGGCTAGACTAAATTTTATAAAGCATTAAAATATCCTGAGTTCAGAGCAACTTCAGTTTACAGTGCCCATCTTAGTGTTTGTCACTCCCTTTCCCCCTTCCTTGGACTAATCCCTGAGACTATAGAGATGCTCCTCCACCCTGTAGTCCTCATCTGAGATGTGATGCTTCCATTTATGCTCTCAAATAATTCATTCTGTCAAAGAAGAGGAGTAATTTTGTTCTGGTGTGAAAGTAAGATTAAAGGGTGGGGGGAGGAGGTTGTGCCACCCTCAAGTTCCTCCTATCCCTTGCACAGAATTGCACCTTCTTGCAGCCAGAATGTAAAATGTGTTTGGCTAAGGAGACGGAGCACAAGCAAGCCCATGTCTATAGCCCAATGTTCAAAGAAGTAGAGAAATGCTAATTCTAGTGGAGGGTACCCTGATTTGGGCTATGTCTAGTRTGCTAAAAGGTGAGTTTAAACAGCTGTTCACAGGGGCTGCCAATAGCTCATTGAACTCATTTTGATCTGGGTTATGCCAGGAGTGCTAAAGTGAATCAGAATTAGATTTAAGCTCTTCAACAGCTCTCAACTTTTATTTCAACAGCCAGGACTTTAAATGGCACCATTTGCCATTTGTCTGAGGGTATTCCTAGTCATCAGTACTCGGGAATTCTAAATGCACACCCCCAACACYTTGGTACTGAATTTACCTCACAATGCTGCCAACAGCCACCAGAGTTCCTGTTTTGTTAGCCCTGAGACAGAAATTCCTTCACGGGGAACACAGTCGGCCCCTTGAAACAATGGACTTAGATTAAATAATCTAATTTAAACCTGAGAGTTAAATTTTGTCCCAGACATGGATGCTTTTATGTGAGCTATTTCAGTGTAGTACTGAAAATTTCATCACTTCTGCTGTACTTAAAGGAATAAAGATGCTGGTTAGATCCTTAGATTTCATCCAGCAACAGACTGTTTCTGGATATTCCTTTCCCTTTCCATTATATTTGGAAACCAGCAAATGCAAATATAAATATATATTTATAGTAACAATAAATTTWAAATTCTTCTTGCGATAAAAGCATTTGAAAAAGTTTTTGGTTTTCTTCTTTTGCAAAAACAAGTAGTTTTAATGTGCTCTTTGGATGTGCTCAGTGAATGAACATACAAGAGCCTAAGTTCACAGCTATTTTTATGTAGCAGATGTAGAAGCTTCTAAAAGGGGATTCTGAAAATAGTTGCAAGCCTCTGGACTTGCTTAGCATTTCAAGAATAGTTATTTTTGTCTTTTAATGGAGGAATATTTTAATGTGTTAGTCCCATGAAAATGCAGAGTGTTAAATTTCTAAAAAATATGTCTACTAGGTTCTAAGTTAAGGAACAAACTAGGGGAAAAAGTCTAAGGCTATCTCATTTGCCTGTTTTTTTTGCTTTTTTTTTTTTTTTCTGAAGGGATTAAAAAGTTTCTAAGTGTGTCCTGATAATTTAATGACAAGCAGTTTAAAAATGCTTTTAAAGTTTCTGCAGACATACTGTACCTCTGATTTCTGACTTCTAGTGGGGCTTTATCTTTTGGTGTGAAGGTTCACATCCTCCATTTTTTCAGGAAAAAATCCTGTGCTTTTGCAAGGCAGTTCTACTATTGCAAGACTTGATTTTAAGTCTTAAGGAGAGTTTCACCCCCCGCTAACATGTTCCTTTATGACAAAATACAGATGGCAGAAATGTTGGAGCTGCAAAGGACTCCTTTTAGGTGCTTTTTAGGTGCTTTTTAGGTGCTTTTTAGGACAGCTTCAAAGATCTTGTATATCAGACTGAAAAAGCAAGTGTTAACACATCCTGTTGAAATCACAGTCAAATGTCTCATCTATCTTTGCACTGAAATGAAGTTTTGACACAGCTGCTTTCCTCCCAGTTACCAGAATGTGCCTTTCACAATCACTACCATGCCCTTGTTCTTGTCAAAACTATAAACCAATAAGCTTTATGAAAATTAAAATCAGTAAAATCTTTCCCATTTCTCGTTTGTGCTTGGATGTTTTTCTCATTGCAAGCCTGGAACAATTCTTGGGCCTTTCTGGRTAGCTGATGTGACAACTCAGTAACTTCTGTGTCGAGAGCTTGGCACAGAAACCTGTGCTCTTTGCACATCCCAGTCCTGTAGCTTAAGAGTTTCTGCATGTCCCAAAGGGTCATCAAATGCCACAAGGCTTCTATATTTACCTGTGTGCACAAATGCCCCAATAAATCATCCCCAGGCAGTAAACAAACCCAGTTGYACTGTGTTCTCACAGAGATTTGCCTGCATTTTGAGACCTTGACTCACAAAGAGTTTAATGTAAGGATATATTGTGCATTTTATTTTTTGGCAACAAGTTTTTCTTCCAATAGTTTAATCTCAGGGTGTGGTTTTGTTATTTCTTTTTGCAAGAATAAGCTTTCCTCCTTTTCCCAGA